CGGCAGAGCTGCTCGGGCTCTGCTCGGGCTCTGCTCTTAACCCATGTGGTTTGTAAGCCTCGGTGCTGTGCGAGCCGATTGTTTTCAAGTAAACTCCAGTGCAATGCTTTGAAGTGTTTATATCGGATAGCATTGGCATTCCTCATGAATTTGATTAAGAAATCTATTTATTATTCAGAACATAATCAGTTTACGTGATAACTGCCACTTGCGAATCCGATTAGATAACAAGAAAGTTGCCCAGCGCTCCTGACTCACAAGAGTAATCGCTAGTTAATACACAAGTAACACCATCTTCTGCAGAAGTTCAAAGTACTCCCTGCTGCAGTAAAACAGCTTTGTTCCGGCTCCTACTAAAATCCTAACGTGCTCCTTGCGCTTCTGTGTTCCTTTTGGGTACTTGAAGCAAATATCTTAATTTTTTCTCTTTTTTTTTTTTTTCAATCCAGGGTAAGGACCTAAGTTTTGCTATATGGCATTAGGCCCATTGACCTTATCTTCCGAAGTAGGCAGTAGATAATCTTTCGTTACTGGGGTTTAGATGTAAAATCTTCAGTCACAAAGCTTTGTATTTTTATGATGGTTGGTCTTGGGCTCTTCATTGCTATAAATGCAGCAAAATTGAGAGAAATGGGTAAATTAATGGAACTTAATGATGTTCTGGACTAAGGAGTTCCACGTTTCATACGGGAAACACTTGGAGTTAACTAAAAGTCCTGTTACAGGATTTTTAATTTCTGACTTCGTTCCTAATATGAAAATCCTATTTTTTAACGTCTCATGCGCTTACACCGTTCTTCCTGCATCACCCCCACTCCCTGCCAAAATCCCGGAATAATTTGGGGCTGGATCTCAAATCATATCACTATGCAGAATTCTCCATATTTTCTATTCCTTAGCACTACTAATGTTACATTTCCTGTTCTAATGTAAGGAGCTTTGAGATCCTCTGCTTTCCACCTACTCCCAGATGGAAAATGTATTATTTTTATTCACGACAGTAGTGTAGCCTGTCACTGCGGCTTGTTTTCTGCAGCAGCCTCCTTAGATTGTGACTTTTTGCAAGACTGAAGTGGCATTTGGCTCTCCTCCTCAGAACTGCCTGTAGCTCATGACTAAAAAGCCTGTATCTAGTACCGGTGAAATGAGACTAATCTTGTCCTTGCAAACGAGGACAGAAAGCCAGCTGGTTTGTGTCTTGAAAGGGTGAAATATTTTCTTTATTTTTATTTATTTGTTGTATTACAAGTTGCAGAAAATGAAATTACAAGGTGTGCTGTGAGTAAGGGACTGGCCTGGGGCTTCTTAACTGTTCATGCAGGATAAGTGTTGACATGTTTTCCTGTGGGAAAATGTTAGCGGACTTGGGGCTTCATCAGATAAACTTCAGATATTCAGGTTGAGCCTCGGATCTTTCTTCAAGATAATCGTCCACATCGTCCTTGGGCAGTCATGGAAAAAGTTGTTTCAGTCCAAATGTGAAACAGTGAACTTCTCTTCCCTCCCTCCGAAAGTGTTCTATAGGAACACTTTAAAAATTGAAAAACTCGCCTATGGTTCAAAAAAATTAACCTTTCAAGCTTTTACACAAACAAGTAGGGTTGTTATTTGGTTTTTTTTTTTTTACTTATTTTTACTTTTGTGGACTTGTCTGGGTGCAGTTGTCTTTGTACAGAAGTTGCCTGGAATTTTGCCTGAGTACCTTGCACTGCTAATACAGTTACTTACCTGTGGTGTAAATTGTTGGTGTGCAGAAAGCCCAGTGGAATATTAATATCAAGATTCACTCCACAAAAGAAAAGATGAAAACACTTGCTACTAAAAAAAAAAAAAAAAAGAAGAAATTGAGGTCTTTTATTTCTTTTTGTCCATCCTGTTATCTTGAGAACAGCTGTAGTTGCTTAAAGCAATTTCAAGCTTGAATTGGGGTGTTAAATGCAATGGCTTTTCCTTTTTTATGTTAAATGCTGCCAGTAATCCTTTGCAAGTTTGTTCTGAAAGAACATCAAAAAGGACCTGTTTTCTCTTGCTAGAATACCTGGGTTCTGGTCTCATTGGTGGCCCTTCCTAGGGAGCCGAAGTGACTTCCTCCTCAGATTTGCCTTTGATTTAAAAACCTTGAATAGAGCAAACCAGGCAAGTTCCCTTTTCTTTGTGTTTTTCTTAATTGATCATTTGGATGTGGCAAGTTTTTTGACCTGGTATTACCAAAATACATTTTGAACCAAAACTTGCGTTAATTCCATAGATAATAGGCCCAACTGAAATACAAAGAGAAGATATGAGCTGCTGTGTGGAAAGCCCTTGTACTCTAATAACAATAGAGGCTATATCTTGATACCTTCTTCTCTGAATAAGTCATTTTTTATATGCAGACAATGAACTAAAACATTGATTTGAGAATAAAACAAAGATATTTTCACTCACTGCTGCATTGTTTCATTGCAAATTGTTAGCACTAGAAAAACATTCAAGTTTGATTTTTTTTTTTTAATTTTTTTTTTGGAGCTCATTGCCTCACATGCTTTGTATACTGTTAAAAAAATTAACACCCTCAGTATTAGTATCTAAAAATACTCAGCTTTTCTGTACTGTATCTTACTGTAAGATACACTTATCTGTACTTAAGCATGATATAAAACAACAGCCTTGTTTCTTTTGCTTTAGAACACAAATAAGATTTTCGATTAGAACCGAGGCTGTGAGGAGGCTTGGGTCTCTGAACTCAGAGTTACAAGCTTCACGCAGGCTTATGAGCCTGACGGAAAGGCTGCGATACCATTCTTATGACAAGGATTCAGACCAAATTGAGGTTTTTATCTTGCTTTTGCTTGTGGTTAGGTGGAACAAAACGTGCTTGCCAACTGTACCTTCATTCCTTGAGTTCAGGACTTTGCGATATTATGTATTGTGGACACGCAGAAATGTTGAGTGCTCTCCAGGCGTGACTCAATCCATATTAATGAAGTGGGATGAGAGGCAAGCACGTACTGTCTTCCAGTGCCTTACGGTTGTTGTCTTTACCTGAAGCTTCGCAATCAGTGGGCTTTTGCTAACGAAGTCGCTGTAAGAACTGTTGTGCCAGCTTGGCTCCGTGAGGAATCGGTGCCTAATGGTTTCTGCCTCGCTTGCAAGGTTTCCTAGCAGTGAAACGGCCGTGAAAGTTGGTTCATGTGAACACATATAACATCCCGTAACTGAACTTGGGTGGGCTAAAAGTCACACTGAAGTTTCCCCTGCCGTGGCTATCCTCGGAAATTCCCCTGAAGTGTTGCCCACTGCCTCTGAAACAGCACGGACACTGGGCAGTTCGTTTCCAGGGGAGTTTGCTGAAACTCAGGTGGGAACTTTAAAAGTATTTTGCAAAACAAATTTTGCTTTTGTTTCTTGAATGTTGCCTTAAATACTTTCCTACTGGCAAGTAGGCATGCTTTCTGTTGTTTTTTTTTCCTGTCGCTTTTCATTGGCCTTGGCGCTTGGCATTTGCTGATTTGAGGTTTAGTTTGGGAAATTAATTTATCACTCGAATCTGCATAAAATGGAAACGGCATTTCTGGTAACTCGTTGCGATTAGCAGAGCTTCTCTGCTACAGCCACAGTAAGGCTACCTGGAGCCTTCAAATAGAGGTGTACCCTTTCCTTGGGCTGGGCTTATGCAGAAGCAAGGTGGTGAGCGAATCTGCACATCTTTAATTACTGCATTTCTTAATTGCAGACTTCAAGTCAAAGACGCAGCCATGAAAGATCCAAGTCGCAGCAGTACTAGCCCAAGCATCATCAGTGAAGATGTGATTATAAATGGTCATTCTCATGAAGATGACAATCCCTTTGCAGAGTACATGTGGATGGAGAACGAAGAGGAATTTAACAGACAGGCAAGTCATTTCCCTCTATAAATGTCATGTGCTATGTTCTACCATTTTCTAGCTGAAAGGAGAGGTGCTGTGGCTTAGCAGCTGGGGTACAAGACTGGGAATCCTTTAGAGACAGAGTTTGTAGATAGGATTATTCTAGCAAGCCTGGGGAACAGACAGATCTCAGTTTCTCTGGCAGTAAATACTTATTTTCTGTAATCTTGGTGGAAAATATGGGAAGTGCGGCATGTTCTAACGCATCCATTAATTCCCTACTTCTGCAGGAGGGAGGGGAAAAAAAAAATAGTTGACAGACTTTATGTGGCACTTTGGAAGGGACGAGTCTTGCTAGCTGCTAAGCTGCGGAGGTTTTACATGTGCAGACACGCCGGCTGTTGTAGTTCTGAACTGGATATGTCCAGGCACGTACCTGCCTCGTCAACAGGGCTGTTAATCCGAAGGGTGTTGGTGAACATAGCTGTTGGGTGACAGTCCTGTTCGCTGCTTCATACTGAAGTGTCTTACAGCTGGCCTTCGCAGTCAGGTTGGAAGGAAGCCTTCACTTCATCCTTCACCTTGCACCTGGACACAGTTTTCTCTCCCGTGGAGGCTGGGAACAGCCTCCCTCTTTCCACCGCCTCTTTCTTAACCCAAACTTGATCTCTGTACTCAAGTAGCTGCTTTCTCTGCCGCTCCAGGACAGTACGGCTGTGCTGAAGCGTGAGCTTCTGAAATAGGATATGTCTGCTGCTCTCTCTTCAGGCTGCCAGCAGGGCATAAAGCTAATCTGAAATTCAGTTTGCTCGCAAAATCTAAATTCTCTTGTGCATACGCCAGGATGGTCTCGGTGTTGTTTCCTGTTTGGTGGGTTTTTCCTCCTGGGGACTGTACTGTGGTTAGCATATGGGATGTGTAGTTCTTGGGGAAGGAGCTGAGAGTTGTGCTGTGAATAAGCTATTTTTCAGGTACAGACTCCATTTTCAGAGAAGAGGAATGGTGGGAACATGAGGGGAGAATGGGCTTACTGAGGCAGGCAAACACTGCCACCGCGGGCACATCTCTCTGGGAACCAGAACAAGTTAAACTTGGGCTGGAAAATACAAACAGGCAATATTAATTTCAAGACATTTGGGGAATTAAAACGTTGTTTAGTACTTCTGGAGCTGCCATTGGAGGCACCTGTGGGCATACAACCATGTAACAAAAAACCTGGAGCCGGGCAACCCCCGCTGTAATGCTAGCGTGTGGCTGCGTGCCCATGGCTGCCTTTTACCCGCATGACGGAGACAGTGCCTCACCGGAAGGATTGGCTGGACACTGCCGTCCTTGCTGGAGTGCTTTACCGGGGTTTGAATTGCCTGTCCTGTTCCCCAAAGCTGTGCATCTTCAGCACCAAGTGAGCTGGTGAGTGTGTTTACCACAAGCACAGGAGACCTAGACTTTACAGGAATCCTGAACTCTGGCGTTAACTTTGTTTGATGTGGTATTTGTGGTATGTAACTGAATTTCCACTTCAGGATGGAGTATGTGTTGGATTTCAGAGTGAAGGACAGATAGGAAAACTTGTTTGAGCTTCCATTGAGTGAACTTTTAAATCTGTCCTGAATAATTTTTCCGCTCCCTTACATCTGGCGAGTCATTCGCACCAGCTTCGATTTCCCTGCTTTCCACTCTTTAGTACTTCGATGCAGGACATGGAAAATTTGTCAGGATGAACTCCCTCCAAAGCTTGTTTACTGAACAACCAAGCAAAACTTGCCTTTAATCTTTGCAGTGCGTGTCAGTTCTGCATCACTTGGTTTGTCTTGCTTATAGTACATTCTTATGGTCAGCATTAACAACTGCTAAGATCATGTGGGATTCCTTAGGAGAGCTACATTGGGTGAGCGCATCATCTACAGCTGAGGAGATGCTGTGCGTTCCCCGTTCCAAGAGACAGGCAGTGGTTCTTTTTTTACCCCAAAAGTCTTGTAGGACCCTTTCCTACGGAGTGTGCCTGGCTGCACGTGTTGTCCCCAATTCCCTTCCTCATACCTGCAGTGAGTTCAGTCCAGACTAGTTGGTGTAACTGAAATTTTCACTTGGAACCAACATTTTCCTTCTCCTTGAGCTCATAACAAGCTGCAAACAGAACAGCTAGGGCTGGGGGGTGGGGTTCTCCTGCCATTCCCTTTTAAACTGCAGCCCAAGTTCCTGAGACAAAACACTTCTCTACATTAAAAAAAATCAAAGCTGATTGCCTTCCTGCGGCACAAGTGTGGTGTTCTGCTAGAAGTCCTATTGCATAGCTAGAAAGAAGGTCGGCTAGGTGCACAAGCCTTGGAACGAAGACACATGCTCTCGATAAGTTTGTTGATGAAGCAGTTTCTTCTCATTGTATAGATCGAAGAGGAGTTGTGGGAAGAAGAATTTATTGAGCGCTGTTTCCAGGAGATGCTGGAAGAAGAGGAGGAGCACGAATGGTTCATTCCAGCCCGTGATCTCCCACAAACAATGGATCAAATCCAGGACCAGTTCAATGACCTTGTTATCAGTGACAGCTCATCACTGGAGGATCTGGTGGTAAATTCAGTTTCTCATCATATTTCTAAAGCTTGACATCTCTTTGTCCATGGCTGATTTTTGTTGCAAGAGAAAATACTTTACACGAAGGCCGGAGACTCTTAAACTGTGCCTGGCTATGGTGGAGGGGGAGATGTGGAACGGTTGGGTAGGGGATGTTTCCTTAAGTGACGTGACCTATTCAGTGATTTTCTTCATAACCACGTGGTGCCCGTGGCATAAATTCAAGTGGCTTTGGGTATGCGTAGCATGTTGTGAAAGAAAGGCAGTGAGCGAAGGACGCTGACCCTGTGCCGTTCGGTGTCAGGACTGCAAAACTTTAATTCGGCTTCTGTCAGTGCTTACGTGTTGGGCAGGTACAAGCCGTGTTCTAAGGTCTGGTGTGGATTGTATGAACCATAGCAGATCTCTGTAGAAATTCTAAGGAAGAGGAAAGCAGCTAAACTATGATTATTTCCCCATTTCTTGCTGTGTGACTTCTGTCTAGAGCTTAACTAAAAGGAAGGGGCAGCATGTACGTATTTTCCCTGACAAAATACAAAGTCACTGATACAGAGTACAAAAAACCACACCGTTGTGTCACACAACTGCTGTGAAATTCAGATGCCAACGCCTACTTTTCCAAGCTTAAGCAGCTGCAGGCAGCAGTTTTGGACTCAATTAAGAACACAAAAGCCTAATCCTCCATTTCTTTGTGATAAGGAGCTCATTTTGAAGATGCTGGATGCCCACCTATAACTGCAGGAGATTGTAGAGCAGCGGCTTGGTGGGAGGACAGGGTAGTGACAGACATAGAACTGTAAAAAATCAATACAGTGCTCATATATGTTTAAGTCCCAGAAGTGGCTTAAGTTCCTGGAACAAGTCTCCTCTGGCTTAAATAAGGAAAATCTAAAAACTTCACGGCGCATTTTTAACAGCCCAACTTCAGAAAAAGCCATTTCGGCATGAGGCGAAGTTGCTGTACTTGATGCATGCCTGTGGTTTTCTTGTTTCCTATTCCCTGAGCCCTCATCTGACTGAAACGTGCAGGTGGTGCTAAGGAAGGATGGATAATTTGGGTACTAGCGCAGAGGAGTGGGGTTTTCTAGGGCTTATAGAGACTTCTGGTATATGCAAAAACCCTCTTACATGTCTGACCGTTACTCATAAATCCATAAACTGTTCCTAATGCTGTCTGCCTAGAATTGTGTTCAGCTTGAAAATGGAAGGTGAAAATAACGACTGAACTAGACTTCTGTTTTTCCCTTCCTCAGGTCAAGAGTAACCTGAATCCAAACGCAAAGGAGTTTGTTCCTGGGGTGAAGTACTTAAATATTTGAGTAGACTGGGCCCTCTCTTGGTGGATGTAGCACAATTTCCACACTGTGAAGCCAGTATTAGAAGATTTAATTGTAAAAGCTCTCTCTTCTTGTCACTGTGTTACACTTATGCATTGCCAAAGTTTTGTTAGTCTTGCATGCTCAATAAAAGTGCTGAGACTGTTATTAAGTAAATCTGTCAAAAGTTTAATGGAAACATAATTGGGCCCTGGCTCTCTGCGAAGGAGGCAGTGAGGTAAGAAGCACCAGTCAAGTTGAGACAAAGTACCACGTTTCTAAAACCTTCTGCAGACTCTGTCTTTTTAAATAGGACTTGGAATTTGCTATGGATGGTCTGTTTTTAACTAAAGATGTGTTAACTGGTGCTAGGTTGCACCTGATAATGCCTTAACTTAAAAATGAAAGCAAGGATATCTGATTGTTATGCAAATTAGCTAACTTTCCTTTGAAATACCAGTATTGTTACTAATGTTAATTTTTTTCCCCTTAAAAAACCGTCGTGCTCCTTTTAAGCAGCACGGGCTTTAACAGAAGTTTTACAGACCTGTACAGAGTCGTAGATCTCAGCTACCGAGCTAACATCCAAGCAATCGGAAGGAAGAAATTCCCTGTGCTTTGCAGTGTGTTATCATGTTAGAAAACTTTCACTTCCTGATTATGTTAAAGGAGATGTGAGTTTCATCACAATTTCTTCCAAGGACCCCGATACGTACATAGCACTGCCTATGTAACTTTTATTATAGCTGGATTTAACCAAGAAAACCCTAGCATTAGTGATTTGAGTGGTGCTTTTCCCTTGCTTTGTTTAATCATCACTACACAATAGTCTACAGCACAACAACTTTTGTTTTGTTTTGTTTTTTCTTTTAATAAAGCTAGAACAGTTTTGGCTTCTTAAACTTCATATTCGGGTAGGTTAAGCTGCCATACGTGTTCAGTGTGAATAGTGTTTAAGTTGAAAATATTGTAAAAAAATTATATTTTTTCAAAAATATTTAAAAAAATAAATAATAGTAGAACTGATGTGGTGGCTGTCTCATGAATATGCATCGCACATGGAAACTCTCTTGGCAGCGTGCAGAGGAAAGGGATGGCATTACGGCCTCGGTGCCTGTAAGGCCGTCGGTAACACGATAGCCCAAAATACTCACCCGAGGTTGGACTCTGCTCTTTGCTTTCTTTCCTCCCGCTTTACGCGCTTGCCTGCGCATATTTTCCTTCGTTCTCTCCGCTGCTAATCCCAGTGCGGCCGGCAGGACGGGCAGTCCCAGCTGACGGCACTATATAAAACCTGCTGTCGGAGGCTTTGGCAGGGCGGCTGTTGGAGCTGGGGTGCCCTCGGTCCCGTAAACGTCCCCGTGCGGCCTCCGGC